GGGAAAGCCTAGCTCTGGAAATGTCTCGTTCCAGAAAAAACGAATCATGATGATTCTGATTAAAGCAGGACTTGCCTCCCAAGAGTAATAATAATACAGTAAGAAACAGAAATTACTTCAATCATTCCGGGGGGAGGGGGGTGTGTGTGCATGTGTAAAAACAAAAACCTGGCTCTGAAACCAGAACCAAATTAGTGGCAATAGTAAGCTCACTCATTTAAGGCATATTTGTGAAGTGCCTACTATGTAACCATGGAGGAAACAGATTTGTCCTTTGCCCTTGTGTACCTTAAAGACTAACAAAGGACACCAAAACACAACAACATGTGTGAACCAAACTAGGACAGGGAAAATTCTGGACTCAGGGAGCATAAAGTGCTCTGGCACGACTCAAAATACTCCTAGGGTTATCAGATTCCCTGCTAGTTAAAGATGCCATATATTTAACAATTGTCGACATCAAATATGCACTTTTAGAGAATAATAAAATTGTGCTTGCACACATTTTGTTGCTAATTTGGCTGCAGGTTAGAAGTAGTTTGGATCAAAGCTAGAAGTCTAGCACTTCTGAATTCCATTTGTAGTTATGATGTTGAACCCCAGGTGTGAAGCTCTCATTTCAAGGATAGTAGAGGGAGGAGAAAAAGGATTTGAAGCCCTAAGAATACAGTCAAAGGAAAGATTAGTGGGATTCATATGGGGCTTTAAAGCCTGAGCAATAATGTGAGTATGGTCTTCCAGGATGACAAGTAAACAAAGAGCTCCTGGTGAGTGAACAGGCTGAAGATGGGATCACCTTCGTAGAACTGCTATAAGCTGGTCATGAGCTATACAGAGCCACCTCCAAAATGGAACTATGACTTTCAGAGTAGGGTCAAGAAAAGCTAGTTAGAACTTTAGATTTAGCATTAGAAGAAAAAATGATATTCTTACAGATGGTATTCATCAGGCCAAATATAAATGCTGAATGATCAAGATCAATTAGGTGAAAATCTTTATGTTACTAGACTGCTCTGATTAATGGCGATCACAAGCTTTGGAGGTAACTGGACCCCAGTGTAAGTCCCAACTGCATATTCTGACTCTGTAATGCCAGGCAAAGTCACTTAATTTTGCTGGGTCTTATTTTCATCATAAATGAGGAGGGTAAAACCCAGAAGGCAGGATAGCTATGAGGATTAAAAAGTTAGCACAAAGAACTCAATGAAGGGAATCTACTGTTATTATCAATAATGACACAAACTACTTTCTCTACACTACCTGTTGCTTGAAGTCAGTAGTTAGAAGACTTTTAAAAAATACACTAAGGTCATTCGCTCACAGGGCAAGGAAAGACAACACAGTTTCTACCCACCACAGTCTGCAAATAGGAAATTGGATCAGAGAGGACATAGTACACATGACCTGGTACATAGTAAGTAGTCAAGAAAAGATTCTCATTATTATTATTCAGACAAAAGATTGGAACCCAAATTGTTTAGTTAGCACAATTGTCCTTTTCATTTCTTGTGACGTAAAACACATCTCCCTAAGATTCTTTAGGCCCAAGGTCACAGAGCTGAGCCACCACCAGGTCCCAGGTTGGTGATTCACTCACCAGAATGCAGTGCTACCAAGTACTAGGGGCTTATCTGTTCCCCAAATCACCTGACGCTGCTGACCACTCAGGAAACTATTCACTTGAATTCTGGCTCCTGGGCCCTCCCTACCATTTGGGTGTGGGTTTCCCCTTTCTGTGGAAATTGATGGCTTTGCTTCAAGTCTCCTTCCTGCCGTTTCCAGTGGCATTAGGCAAACAGAGTCATTGGTGATGTCATCACTTTCATTTCCATTGGCCAGATTATCTCTCCCTAGTGACTAATATCAATCATCACTACTCTGGGATCTAAGTTTCATGAAGAATCAGCCAATGAAGACTTCCACTTAACCTACAATACCATTCAATTCCAGTAAAGTCCCAAAACAAAATGGGCTAAAAACTGTCCCTCCATTAACTCCAGGTGACCTTGAAAAGGTTTGCTTCTTTCAGAGCAAATTTTTATGAGGGACCAATTTATTTTATTTTATTTTATTATTACTTTTCTCTTTTTTTGTAGAGACAACGGGTTGCTATGTTGCCAAGGCTGGTCTTGAACCGCTGATCTGACCTCATGCACTCCTCCCACCTCAGCCTTCCAAAGTGCTAGGATTATAGGCATGAGCCACTATGCCTAGTCTTAGTAAATATTTCTTGAACACCTACTATGTGCCAGATCTCTTCTAACTGCTGAGGAAGAAGTTGTGAAATATCAGTGAAATAGCTGACACGATTATCATTAAATACTTAGCATTAGAAGAAAAAGAGAGAGCTAAAGAAAAGTTATACATAGAATAAAAGCTTGAAGCAATTCTCTGAATGATTTTAGTCATTTTCCCACAAAGCAACCCTCCAAAAATCTAGCAATGCTTCTGATTAATCAGTTATTCATGACATATGATAATAGTTATGAACTTGGATTGAACAACTGAAGCGGAGTTTTAATCTTGTTTCTCACTTACTGGATTGAGGGGGGTTAAATTATTTCACTTATTCAGAACTCAGTATCCTTATCGGTAAAATGAGATTACTGACACTGCCTTCCTAAAAGAGCTGTTTTGAGAATTAAATTAAATGCTGTATGTTACCTCATGGTAAGTACTGAGTAAGAGTACTTATTTAGACAAAGAGTAATTATTCAGACAAAAGATTTTTGCCTGAATTGTTTAGTTAGCTCAACTGTCCTTTTCACGTCTCACGATTTAAAAGACTTTTCCTAAGATTCTTTAAGACTTTTTTGCAGATGTAAATGCAGAAGCCAGCTAATACATTGAAGAAGAGATGAGCAGCCTCACTAAGGATGAGAAATTCAGAAACCTAGGCTCTTGGTCATCTCAGGAGGTCACCAAGAGATATTTTGTATCTTCCTGGCCTATCAGTTCTTGTGGATCAATTTTTTAAAACTGTAGCCAAAGTTCATTCTTCAAGCAAAGTCCTAAAAAGAAAGCAAAGGAGAGAGAGTACACAAAGGAGGCTTCTGTCCCTACATATCATCATTTCTATACTGTTAGTTAACTTCTGTTTGCCAGGAGGGATTTGAACTGAAAGAGAAAGAAAATATTTAATGGAAAATACTGAAAAGTGCTATACTTTTGAGTAATTTTACAATGGAAGTACTGGAATATTTTCCACAGGAATCAGCCAATAAGATTGATTTCTTGATATTTTTCTGTTCCTTACTAAATTCTCAGCAACTCCCAGACACCGTGATTGTGGGGAATTTTATTACAATAAAAAGAAATACTGTGTATTAGAAGAAATGTATTTTAGTGAATTAATTTGGAAGTTCAAGGTTTAAATGCCATTCTCTAAAAATCTCTAATTGTGCACAATACAGGTGTTATTTTTCCATTCTTACATTTTACATACCCATTATGAAATTCTAGTAATAAGACGATGGTAACATCATCAATTTGGGTTAACAATTATTTAGCAAATTCGTCTTGCCAAGTCATTTTTACCCTTCACCCGAAGAAATATTTGTATTACTATCTCAAGAACAGTTGACATTGCTAGCATATTGTGATTTGGTTCCTAGTGTTGGCTATCTTTGGTATTTCTAGTCCTGAGTGCTAACCTACCACGCAACAGAACCTCAACCCCGGTTATAGGATACTTGGGCAAATATATATTTATTAGTCATATATTTATATATTTTTACCGATATTGTCATGTCTTTTATCTTGAAATTAACACTTTCTATCTTCCTGAGGGCTGGTTAAAGAAAAAACGCCACTGAACCACCTAGGATTGAACAATTCTCTCTCTCTCACACACACACACACACACACACACACACACACACACACACACACACACACACGAAGGTGTAGCTTGAAGCGTCTGCTTTCAGTCTTTCCAAGCATCTCTCAGGCTGAAAGCAAGCGGAAGTGATTGAGAAATCCCTCCAGGGACTGGTGCTTCCCACAGGGATCTACAACTTTACACTTCATCCCCCCTTCCCCTCCCATCTCTAAACCCCCGGGTAGTAAGGAGCGCCAGAGTCCCCGCCCCTTCTCGTTGCCAAAACGCCTTCTTAACCTTTTTTTGGGCCAGGGACCTAGAGAATGCTATGGACCCTCCACGAATGGTGACAGAGGTTGGTGCAAAGCACAGCTTAAACATTTTGCGAAATTTTCAAGAGACCACGTATTCGAAACTCACTCCGAGCTGCAGGATTAATAACCCCATTTCTAAAACTCTTGACTTGGGGCGATTAAATCGAGAGCGGAGCTCAGGTGCCAAATCTCCTCCCGAGTGAAAAACTGTAGGAAGGGAAGGCGCTCCTGCGCTGGGCCACTTTCACTTGTAAGAAACCAAAAGAATGGGACTGGTGGCAAGAGATAGGGACGGGAGAGAAAGGAAAGGAAAAGGAGAAATGTGAGAAACAGAGAGGGACACGGTGGGGCGGGGAGAAGACGGACATCACAGGGAAAAATGAGGAGAGGGGACAGAGTCTGAGAGGCACAGCAACAGGGACACAAGGGGGAGGAGAAAAAGAGACTCGGTAGGGAGGAGAGAGAGGAGAGGAGAGGAAAAAGACGAGAGGGGAAGTGGCTGCACGCGCGCCAGGAAAGGGAGAGAACTTTCCCTGCTTTCCCTCCCCGGGGCAGGGAATCTCAGAAAACCCCACTTCAGCGAGGTGGCGAGGACCACGACCAGCTGCCCCGGCGCTGGTGACGCCTCTGGCCTCCGCCTCTTGCAGCCGGCAGGGCCTCCGGCTGAGAGTCCCGCACGGGCCGGCCGAGGAGGGGACATGGTCTGGAAGGAGGCGGTCCCCGTTCGTCTCGCTTTCTCCTCCCCTCTCCTCCTCTTGGAGGCGTGCACCGGGGGCATTTGAGAGGCTGTGGACCCGCGGCCCCCCCGCCTCCGCCCCCCCAGCCCCCCATTCAAGAAGCCGCTCAGCTATCCCGGCCAGCACAGGGCGCCCGGCGCGCCTCGGAGCGCAAGTTCCTCGCCTTCTCCTGCCCGCTCGCTGGGCATTATGCGGCCAAGCAGCCGAGCCCCAGTCCTCCTCCTCCTCCTGCTCCTCCGGCTCCTCCTGCGGCCCGAGCGGCTCAGCTCTCGGCAGGCGGCGGCGTTGCTCAGCCGAGCGCAGACGGGACCCTCGCAGCGAGACCTCAGCGACTCCTAAAGTCAAAAGTTGGCGGCGGGCGCCGGGCTCCGCGCGCTCTCCACGGCCGCTGCCTCGCGTCGCCGCCGCAGCCAAGGAGGGCAGGAGGGAGGGGGGTGGGGGCAGCGGAGGGAGGGGTGGGAAGCACCATGCAGTTTGTATCCTGGGCCACACTGCTAACGCTCCTGGTGCGGGACCTGGCCGAGATGGGGATCCCAGACGCCGCGGCGGCCGTGCGCAAGGACAGGCTGCACCCGAGGCAAGGTAACCAGGCTCCGGCCCCCGGGACCCCGCCGGCCCCGACGCCGCCTCCCGGTCCTCGCTCCCGGGCAGGGGCACCCCACAGCGGAGGCCTCTCTCCTTTTCCTAGAAAGAATTATCTCCCGCTTTGCAGCCTCTCCCTTCTTTGGGTCATCCCCAATCAATTGCTAGGGAGGGACACTGTGGAAACGAATTTAGGCAACCCCCCCCCACCTTGCTGTTAGCCGGATATATCCCCCATCCCCACTCCCACGCTGCAAACTAAAGTAATTTAATAATTGGGGGCACCAGATAGCGTCATGTTTTATTTTATTCAGGTTATTTATCAATATCTTAAATCATATATATTTTGACTTGTTAATTGTCTGGCTCGGAATAGTGTATCCTCAGCACCTAGCACAGGTCCTGTTACTGGCACATAGTAGGTGCTTAGCAAATATTTGTCCGCTGATTAAGGGTGAAGGGATTGGCTCGAATGGGCTGGAAAATAAAGTCAGAACAAAGTCCCCACCTTCGTTTTAAATTAAAGCTTGAGGAAAAATGAATTATTGGTTCATATACCTCTGCTTCTCTCCGCAGTGAAATTATTAGAGACCCTGAGTGAATACGAAATCGTGTCTCCCATCCGAGTGAACGCTCTCGGAGAACCCTTTCCCACGAACGTCCACTTCAAAAGAAGGCGACGGAGCATTAACTCTGCCACTGACCCCTGGCCTGCCTTCGCCTCCTCCTCTTCCTCCTCTACCTCCTCCCAGGCGCATTACCGCCTCTCCGCCTTCGGCCAGCAGTTTCTATTTAATCTCACCGCCAATGCCGGATTTATCGCTCCACTGTTCACTGTCACCCTCCTCGGGACGCCCGGGGTGAACCAGACCAAGTTTTATTCCGAAGAGGAAGCGGAACTCAAGCACTGTTTCTACAAAGGCTATGTCAATACCAAGTCCGAGCACACGGCCGTCATCAGCCTCTGCTCGGGAATGGTAAGTGGGCGCGCGTCACCTCCTCTCCCCTTCCGCCTCCTCGCCCGCCTCTGGAAGACTTAATTGCCCTCTAAGCCCAGAGACCCTCACTGTGGCGAGGCTCCCCTCCTCTCCGGCGTTAAATATCAGCTAGAAACTCGTAGGGTTTGGGTAGCTAGCTCTGTGCGTGCGCGTACACTGGCGTGGAGCGCACACACCCGCCCCCAGGGGCTTCTGGATGTTTCAGAGCTTTCTGGAGTTTGGACTCGGTTCAGCGGCGCATTGCCCAACGCTGCGAGGCGGCCTGGAAGTCAGTTTCCAAACTCGGAGAAAGTTGCTGGAGTTGCGGTTCCCTGCAGCAAACTTGGCCACCCGGGAGCCGAGCAGCTGAGCGCAGGGCGGACCAGACTCCTCATTGGTGCGCCTTGCATCGGGGATGTGGGGCTGAGGATCCGCTGCCCAAGGCACTGGGAGTTCCTTGCGTGTGTGTTGTGGAGGGCGGTGCGTAATCTAGAGTCCCCGCTTTCTCTCAGGGCCTTTATTCACGCGCCAGGAACCCTGAGGCTGAACTGGATTGACAGGGAGCAGGTCCCGTCCCAAGAACGGAAGGGTGGGCCGAGGGCTCTGGGGGCGGAGGAGAAGGCGGAGCCTACCCCGGACGCTTTGAATTGGGGTGGAACCGAGAGTGGGGGTGCAGCGCAGTCCAACTCTGCACCCTACTGGTGGGGTGGCCGGGAGAAACAGGATAGTGGGAGACAGCCTGGAGAGGCTGTCCGGACGTGATTTCGGTTCCTCTGGGGTTTCTACTACTTAGGGGTTCCAGGGAGTGGAGAGAGGGAGCCTGCGGCGCACGTTTCCCTAGGGACTGAGGCAGGGCGGGGAGACCGCCTTCTTGCGCTTCCAAATATGCATTTAGCAGGGAATCCACGTTGGTTCCCCGACTCTTTGCCGACCCCTGCACGTGCCCTCCAGTGGATCTTACAAGGCATCTGCCCCCGACTTCTCGACATTTGAGGAGTCGCTGCTGTACGGTTCTGGCCCGAGCAAGGGTGGTCCTTGACTTTCCTAAGCGACGTGCGTTTCTGCCACGCGCGTGTGACGCAGAAACTTACCCGGGTCAGTCTCTCCCAGCGCATGGCGCTGTACGCGCAATGGGGTCGTAGGCAGTGTGCCCGGTGATGCCTTTACTCTTCCCGAAGCACCCACAGCCCCTCCCTCCCTTTTCTAAGTGGGGCCTTGAATACTCACCCCCGGACACTGGGCTGCTCCATCAGTGCGCTGTCGTTCGCGGCTCTCAGAGTTCCCAAGCGCATCCTTCCTTCTCTGCCTCGCATTGGAAGGATCGGGTGGGGAGCATGGCAAGCCTGAAGCCTGGGAGGGGGTAGTTCTAGCCTGCTGGGATTCAAGGAAAGGGATAAACCCCTTTAGCCCCCAGCAGAGCGCCCGGAGCCGTGGCTCCCGAAATGCGCTGTCGAGATTGTTTGGGGGTGGGCGGAGACGGCAGCTTGGCGAAGTGGGAGGGGGTGCTGCGGTGAGTCATCGCTGCCCCAGGACTTAGGGCAAGAGCTCCGGAATCCTTCCCGTCTTTGAAAGGTTAAGGCTCGGATAGGCAGAAGTCAGCCGTCTGTGCCCAGAGCCTGGAGTGCCCCCAGATTCCAAGATAGTAACCCCCAATTCCAGGACCGTAGGGATAGGACTGCGTGTGTACGTCGTTTGTAAACAGTCTTTACTCCTCCTCTCTCCCCGCCTCCACACCCGCTGAAGCCGAGTGGCCCCAGCAGTTGTATAAATATTTTACTGCGCAGCACCTTCATTTTCATTGGCAGTTTTAGGTGGTAATGGGCACGTGGTTTCTTTGGGAACTGAGGACTGGGGCTTCAGAAACGACTGCCTGTACTGTAATAACCTCATTTATATTGCGTTTAATTCGCAGTCTGCCTCTTTTGGGGAAAAGGGCCCTCATACATCTTAAGGATATGCGCTCTGGCTCTTTGTATCTTCAGTCATTAATCTAGCTCCAAAACCCCTGCCCCTCTGTCTTCCTTCTGGAAGTTATCTCCTCCCAAGACTTACCCTTACCACATATGTAGCAGTGGCGTCATGATGTTGCTAGTTCTTCGCCTAGGAGTCTTCCAGGAAACTCTTGGGAGTCTACCAGATTTTGGAGTGGGCCGTGCCATCCTGCCACCCCTAGTCACTTGTCAGTTTTTCTGAATTTCATCTGAGATGGGTCGCTCACCTCTCCTGAACATCTCTACCCTAAATCTATACCCCTTCACTTTTCTCCCCCTCTCTCCTTAGGACTGATGTCTAAGAAATATTACACTGGGCTTCTTCTCCAGTCTTTCTCCTTGATCGCTAACTCCATTTGGCATTTGAGACTATTTACAGTGCAGTCAGACTATTTACACTGCTTTCTCTGCACCCCACTCTCAATCCTAGTCTTCATTGCCTTTGTGCCTTTGAATTTACTTGGTCTTCTCACTCATCTTCACATACTCAAATCCTACCCTTCTTTGGAGGTGTATATGATTTATATCTCTTCTTTCCCAGAAGACCTTTTCATAGTTCCCCAAGTTGATGTCATCTCTCCCCCTCCACCTTCATAGACACTTCTGAGAGTCTCTCTTACGATGCTTAGTATGTTCTCCCTTACATCAAGGTTCTTGGTACACATGTTTTATCCATTTCTCCTTGGCAACAGGGTCAGCATCAACTCATTTTTCTTCTATATTGGAGCTTTGTATGTTGTGCTTAGTATGTACTTAGTATGTACTACGTATGTATACTTAGTATACATGTTTGAATAAATAGTCACCTTAACCAAGAAAAGATAACTCTTAGGCCCACCTTTGTGAATCAACAGCATGATTAATTTTGGCATCATATTGATATGATTTATTGAGCTCTTATTATCGTCTGCCTGGCTATTATAAATAGTTTACATATGTATTATCTCATCCAAATCCTCCAATAACCCAATCCTCAAAACAACGCATTTTACTGACAAGAAAAAAAAAATCTGAGACTTTGAGAGCCAGAGACTTGCCCAAGGTCTCACAGCTCATAAGTGGCAGGGTTGGGATTTCAACCGGGTCTTTCTGATCCTTGGCACTTAACCATAGACCAGAGACTGATCCTGTTCTCCTGAAGAGAATTTCAGGGTTCTTTTCTAAAAAGGCACAGGACTAAAGTCAGGTTAGACAGCACTAGCACTGTCCAGCTGCTTCTGTACCATCGAAGGGGAACTTGGGCCCAATCACTTCCTCCTTCTGTGTCTTGGTTTTCCCATTTACCAATCAAAGGTGGCAAATCGTCACCAGCTGAGCTCCCTGGCTCTTTCCCAGGACTCGTGTCTCTGATGGGTTTCACATGTTATGATATGCGCTCTAATTTGTGCTGGGAGAACACCAGAGTTGTGTATTGAAAACAGGCAGAAAGTAAATTTATTAAATCACTTCTCTGGCAACTAGCTACTCTGTCTCTTAGTCTGAGCACACCTGAGCTGCCCTTTTCTTAAACCAGGGGCTCATAAATCATGTGGAGAGCTTTTAAAACAAAAAACATTCTAGATCCATCCCTAGAAATTCTGAATCTGTGAGTAGTGGGTAATGCCCCAAATCTAATTGAAAAACAAAAACAAAAAATCTTCCCAGGCAATTTTGAAGCTAGCTGTTTTGGGGAACCAATGGCTTAGCCTAGTGCTGCTCATACTTTATCATGCATAAGAATACCCTGGGAGCTCATTAACATTTCAATTCTTGGACCCTGCCCCTAAAGATTTTGATGCAATAGATCAGATTTGAGGTGGAGCACAATTATTTGAATTTCTAATAAGCTCCTGGATGATGCTGATGCGGATGCAGTTGCTGATGTTCAGGGAGTCATTTTTCCTGTGTCAATGGAAGGATGCAAGGCATCAGATTTTTTTTCCAGCATGGGAAATGGGAAAGTGGAAGAGAAGAGAGGAGCTTGATTTCTCCTCTTAAATACCACTCAGCAACGTGGCATAGGGAATTTTTCAGCGTTCTTGTAATTTTTAGTTTGGGTGGTTCAATCTTGAGGTATCATTTATCATTTGCAAAAACTGGATATGTGGGGTGAAAAGGAGCAAAAGTGACTTGCAAGGTGCTTAGAATGATTAGGAAGAGCAAATTTTATCCTAATGGTTAGGGGCTAACGCTGGCAACACCAAAAACCGTTCATGAGTCCTAAGTCTTTGCAAGGTGTCAGGCATTTTGCTAAGCACTTAATTATCATTATCTCCTTTAATCTGCACAGTAACTCGTTACATTAAGTATCTATCCCCAGCTGACAAACAAGGAAGCTTAAGCTCAGAGTGGTTAAGGAACTTGCCCAAGGTGAATGGGTAGGTGGTGGTGCTGAAACTGGAACCTAGAGCAATCTGGCTTCAAAGCCTTGCAGGACATCACTCCCCTATTTTGCAAAGGAAAGGGCTGGTGAGAGGATCATGTGCCAGCATTACAGGTGGTACCACCTTGAATGCATTGTGGCCAAAATATGCTTCTTGAATTTGAATCAATGGGAAGACTTCAATAGGACAGCTTTTCCTGCTGCAATGCATACTTGTCCCTAAGTTTCCAGGCTCTTTAAGTTTCCAAGACTCTTTCAACAGCCTGTAGTAATGATTGGAACTTGAGCCCTAAGGAAGTATTTCTTAGAGACAGATTTGGATAGCAGGTACAATCAACTGGAGTCAAACCAAGAATCAGTTACTGATATGACACTTTGGAAGGCTGAGCCAGGAGTTCAAGACCAGCCTGGGCAACATATTGAGACCCCCATCTCTACAAAAAGTAAAAAATTTAGCTGGGCATGATGGCATCCTATAATCCCAGCTACTCAGGAGGCTGAGGGGGATCGCTTGAGCCCAGGAGTTCAAGGCTGAGTGAGAGGGCGAGACCGTATATCTAAAATAATAAGAATAGTAAATAATAAATAATTTTTAGAAAATGTACTGATGTGACAGAGAGTGAAAATAAACCACTTCTCCACATATGTTGCAGCATTTTCAGTTGAAACAACCCTTCTGAAAAAGAATTTGGGTAAAATGACATCATCTTTACTTGAAAATGTTCTTTTGTTTTTCTTCCTCCCAATGACTGAGTTATGTTAAATCAACCTCCCATCTCTCTTCATTTGCAGCTGGGCACATTCCGGTCTTATGATGGGGATTATTTTATTGAACCACTACAGTCCATGGATGAACAAGAAGATGAAGAGGAACAAAACAAACCCCACATCATTTATAGGCGCAGCACCCCCCAGAGAGAGCCCTCAATGGGAAGGCATGCATGTGACACCTCAGGTATTTGCTTCTTGCTTACACAGACAGCCCAGCTCTTTGAGATGGGTAAATTGCTCTACTACAGAAATGTAGCTCTCTTTCAGTCTACAAAGTGCTACCATATGCATTATTGTTTATTCAGTCCTCAAATGAGGTAGGGATACATACCCCACTGTACAGATGTGGAGACTAAGGAGAGGTTTAGTACCTTTTCAAAGGTGCACAGCTAAGAAGTTATAAAGTCAGGATTTGAACTCAAAGTAGTGACTCCATGCCCTCTATGGGCAGAGCTGCCTTTTTGGTTGAAGTTGCTGATTTTTAGGGTTCAGCTTGAGTAATATTCAGGTCGTGATAGTAGCACCCTCAGTCACCAAATGCTTGTATTTTTTTGGCATCTTCTGTTCATTTGGGTGTTTTTTGTTTGTTTGTTTCACGATGTACGGTTACAGAAATGTCTTATAAATGGAAGTTACAAAAACGTATATGTGTTTGTTGAATGTTTCCTATAAACTTCAGGTTTGCTCATGTTCTGTGACTTAAGGAACTGTAGGCAGGTACCTGTATGTTACGCCATGAGGTACCAATCAACCAGTCAAATCCTATGTGCCCACTGCTAGTCTCCTTCCATCCTGGCCAGATTCTTTGAGGTTTTGTGCTGATGTGTTTGGCCATTGTCAGGGATACATCATTCTGGGCACCCTGGAAAGTTTCTGTCTGTGTTTCTCCATCTGCAGTCTTGTAGCAACACTCCACTGCCTCAGAAGCCTGGTTACTTTCTGCCTGATGATAGGTTATCCTATGAAATAATTCCTCAATTTGGTCCTGCGTCTTAGGTTGTTCATGAAAATACTTAAAAAAAATTCTTGGACTTCCTGTCTCTAAAACTTTTATCTTTCTTTCTATTCTTTATTTTTAAAATTGCTTCTCCAAATTAAATAGCATCTCAGGGTTTTTCTGGTATCTCCAAAAAAGGCCAAAATTCAAGACCACCAGGGAGTTTCCTCAAATGCTCCCCAGAGGATCACTTACTTCATCTTATACCTGTACCAGGTTGTTCAGTGGGATAGCATGTGCTATCCTATTCTCTCCTGGAATTATTATTTCTAAAGTGAATCCTTTAATAAAAGATAACATTGACCATTTATAACCTACAAGTAGCCAAATTTAAGGGTGTAGCATTGTAGGTCTTTTGGCTTTACTGCATCCAGTTCTGTGTTCTTACCACCACAACAAGATGGAATATAACTGAAGCATTCTGTCAGACTCGAAAGAACCAAAGGATACGAGGAGTAGAGGGGCAAGTATACTTAGATAGATCAAAAACAATAGTTGCAGCAGCGGGTACAGAGTCAAGACTGCCAGACACCAGCAAGTTTAATGGACAGGACATTTATCACATTTTTGACTGTGCTAATAAGACCATTAGCACATAGTACCATAACTTCTTGACTTCCCAAATCTGTATTAGCAAGTACACATTTTAGACATGTGTATAAATGTAAATATAACATGAAATGTATATGTAACATACAGAAATGAAATTTGCAATTTCCCTCCTTCCATCTTATTTGTATATATTCAGAAGACACTGAAATATTTTTTTCACTAATGAATTTATTGACCAATGACACTTTAGGGGAGTGTCACTGGTCATGACCAATTTATTGACATGACCAGTGACACTCCCCTAAAGTGGCTACAGGTCAACATTTTTTTAAATGACTATTTATTATTGTTTTATTCTGTACATGCATTATGCAACGCACTGTACCTGCACTACCTTGCTTAATCCTTATCACAAACCTATGAGGTAGGTACCATTCCTAACTCCATTGTATAATACCTGGAAAAGGAGCTGAGATTTACAGAGATGAAGTAGTTTGCCCAAGATCTCACAGCTAGTCCACAATGATGACCCATGTTTGTCTGTCTTATTCCATGACCCATTTTCTCTGTGCAGGAGTCTGTGTGGAAAAGAGAGAGGGGGCAGAAAGAGAAAGTCTTAATTAATATTGTGATTCAAAAAAATCTTCAAGGTTCATTTTAAAATATTAATTATGCAAGTTAATGGACATTTGATTTCCTGGGCTGGAGGAAATGTCATTGTCAAACCCTGTTAAAAACACAAAGAAGAGTGAATCTTAAAAATGTCAAGTTCGAGAACAATGAAGATACCTTAGTTTTAAAAAAACCAGTATTTGGGTTCCAGTCATTATTAAGGTTGGTGCCTTTAAGTACCACCTTCCAAATCACCAATGCCAGTATTTTTAGTTTTCCTCCTAGTGTGTGCTTTCTCCTGACCAATATGGCGTGCCGTTCCTTCATCCCATGTGATGAACCAGGAGCCCAGCAGTTTTGATCAGCTCTTCCAAAGATTGCTGCTGGGCTGTGCCACTCTGGTCTCTCTCTTCCAGCTACTCTGCACCTCTTCTTTGAATTCAGATGCAATTTCTCAGGACAGTTTAGAATATGGCACGATTCACCAGCAGGCATCAGAGGAATGGACCAACACGTCAAGGACACCTCTGAAATCAGGTAGCCTTTGCACAGGGAGTGAAGGTAGGTTGGGGTGGGAGTAGTCCCTCTTGCCAGAGAGAAAAGGGGCTGCCTAGCAATAGCAATCCATTCAGATTCAGTGATATACCTTCCTTCCCAACCACCAATCAAGAGCAGTGGTTGGTAACCAAAAGTAACCTTTAGAAGTGCTCTGGGAGCCTCATACAAATGCAGATTCTTTAAAACAAAACAAAACAAACCCCTCTCCCAGGCAAACGTGATGAAGCAAGAATCAGTGGTTTTAATAGTGCTCCAAGTGATTCAGATGTTTAGCTAAATTTGAGAGTCACTGCTAAAGTTGGGTTTAAGGCAGTAGTCATTATCTGTCACTTGCTGTTGGCATTGCTGTGAACTTGACTTTCTACATGAGGGCTTTCCACGTCTCCTCTTCTCATAGAATGATAGAATATTGGAACCGGAGGAGTCCTTAGCAGTCTGGTCTAGGCCAACACTCTAATTCTGTGCAGATAAGGAAACTGAAGTTGCAGGATGTTAAGATGCTTCCTCCCAGGAGTGATACCCTATATATTTAACACCAACTCATCCCAACTTTCCCTAGCCTTGGGAGAGAGATCCTGCTGAGCTAGGTGTAACCCTTTAGTTACCAAATCATGGGAGTTGGAGCAGGGCAAGACACAATGGCTGTGACACTTTCACATGCAGATGGAATATATCTTGGTCATTTCTGAGTCTTGAGGTATGCCTAATTTTCAAAAAAGGATTCTGAGATAAGTTAGAAAGGGAAGCATAGAAGGAGTCTTCTGCAATGAAAGCTTTATGGGTTTAGAAAGGAGTCTACAACTCTGTTTCTTCATTCATGCGTCCATTCATTCAGTTAGCCATCAAGTCTTTATTGACCAACTCCTCTGTGCCAGGAGGAGAAAACCAGTAACCGTCCGTATTCCTGGTGAGTTGTATGACTTTAAGCACACTTTATAATGTAAAGTAAGAATAACATGTACCTTTCAAGATTGAAGTTAGAGCTAAATGAATATGAAATAATGAAAGCTGCCAGGACAGTGTTTATTTTTAAGGGTTCATGAAAATAGAAAACAAAACACCACAATAAGGAAAGGAAAACTCAAAATACGAAAATTCAGAGCTAATAGCCTAGTGCTTCTGGGTAATCATGAAGGGTTTAGGGGACTTGCCCAAGGTCACCCTGCCAGCTAGTAGCAAGGCTGAGGGTGCTTTCTGTCCCCTTGTTTCCTCTGTACCCAATGCAGCATTTAAACATGTTCTTTCTTGCAAGTTTCTCTTGGCCCAGTGGCTGCCATTCCCAATTGTATCTGTTTTGTCGTCACTGGTTATGTCTATGTGTATACTTTTGGGTCATTTGAGTGTCTCTGCATTTGTCTGTCTTTTCATCCAATTTGTGAGTTCCTTAGGGTTCAGGATGGGAAGTGGGGTGTCTTCTCTCCCTATGACATGCCCTTGTGACTGCAGTGTCCTCTGCACACCGGGTCCTCAGTAAAATTCACTGTGCTCACTGCCTGCCAGCCCCACACACCAGGGGGACAAGCGAAAGGCCTATGGGAACCCTTCGGAGAGTGGCTTGCTTTTATAAGCCACTTCCTGCGGATCCTTCCTATTGCTTGTTTCCGGATGAAATCCCAAGTTCTGTTTCACAGACACTCTCTATTTGACCCTGAGTTTTGTACAAGAGGATTTAGTGGTTCTTATCAGTGCTTCCTGGTAGGTGGGTGAGAGAAAGGCCGGGAAGAAGGCTGTTTTGTTTGCCTGGGCCTGGAAGACAAGTGTTTTTTCTCTAACTCAAACTTCTCCCTCACCTTCCCATCTCAGCAAGGCCAGGTGATTTTTGTTTCTTAAGGCATTTAAGAACTGTCTACTCTGTGACCCATCAATGCTGTGCCTAAAGAAATAATCGGAGAATTGTGTAAAGGTGTTTATGAATGAGATCCAGTACAGTGTTATTTATTATAGCAAAAGACTGGAAACAGCCTAAGTCCTCTTTGGGAGGAAGATAGATCAATACATTATGACGCAGGCATATAATGGATTCCTATGCATCTGTTAAAAATAATGGCCTGAATTTATGTTACCAAACACAGATATATATATTCAGTGTACAAGCAGGTGATAAACTAGTATGTTTGGTAGGATTTTTTTTTTTAATGATAAACTGTATTTGTGTACATGTGTGTAAACAGAAAATCTGAAGTAAAGACATGAAAATATTAACAGTGATTATTTATGGTTACTAGGAACATAGGCAGTCTTTACTTTTGAAATTTTATATTCTTATATTTTGTGACTCCTTTGCTATGTTTCTATAACAGTTTCATAATCAGAAAATACAGATAAAATGAAATGGGGACAGTGGCATGGATTTATTTTGCTAGACCCATTGAACTTGTCACTGGAGACCAATAGCCAAGCCACATTTTGGTCTCTTAGGATCTTAGGACCTTAGAAGTGGAGATTATCAGTCCTTTATTTTCTTG